CAGCCTTTTGGAAGGGGGAGAGAGAGTTCCAGATTTCCACTGGGTTTTGAGTGAAAAAACACCTTCTAATTTCACTCCTAAATGGCCCGGCTCTAATTTTAAGATGAACCCTCTTGTTCGGAGTTCCCCACCGGAGGAAATAGTTTCTCTGTATCTACCCTATCAAATCCCTTTATTATTTTAAAAACCTCAATTAGATCAGCCCTCAACCTTCTGAATGCAAGGAAATACAGACCAATCTCACTTTGTCCTCCGCCCTCTGAAGCTGGCTAAATGTCACAGAGATCTTTGATGCTCAAAATCCGTTTCATGCAAGATCAAAAATGTATATAACTCCCTGGAAACCAGTCAAGCGTTCCCTCTCCCTCCGCTTCTAACCCACTTCACCCTGCCAGGTCTCTATTTGCTGAACCTGTGAGCATGGATCCACCTGGGCTATGTGTACAGCATCACCGAGTGCCCAGGGTTAAATCCCGCCTTCGTTTAGGAAACCGTTTTTCTGCGAGTTTCTTTTAAGAAAATCAACTTCAAGTCTGAGGTCAACAATTCACCAAATCCTGTATGTGGTCACGGCTTCTGCGACTGCTTCAACAACAACAACAACAACAACAAATTGGATTTACACAGCGCCTTTCCCATTGGGATCACCCAAAGTGCTGGACAGTGAAGGGTTTGTACCCGAACAGGAGGTTGCAATCAAACGGGGTGGGGGGAGAGGAGACGGAAATCCAGCATAGACGAGGGGGGAGCGCGAGGGAGAGGCAGTGGCAGAGCCGGGCGATGTTGCGGAGGTGGGGGAAGGCAGAGCAGGTCATGGCGCAGATGTGGGGTAGAAAGGATAGTTGAGGGTCAAACAAGACGTCAGGGCTCGGACTGGCTAAGCAACGTGGAGTGAGCGGCCATGGACGGTGATGCTGTCAACGCCTGAGGTGAGGAGGCGCTGACAGGAGCCAATCAGCCCTCCAAAACAAAACAATAATAAATTGGTCATTTTCAATCCCCGACTGTTTGTGGGACATTGCTGTGCGCAATTGGCTGCCGCGTTCGCCCACAAATATACAGTCAATTCACTTTACAGTATATTCTGTGAAGCGCTTTAGACGTCGAGAAGACGTGAAAAGCGCTATATCAAATGTGAGGATTATTATTATTATTATACAGTGCCTGAGGATGCTATCAGCGAGCCGGAGCAGCTCGATATTAAAGGAAGCACAGCTTCTCAGTGCAGTGTGGCATTGAAGTGTGTAATGGCTGTGAGAGAGAGAGCGAGAGGGAGAGAGAGAGCTGCTGTGATGGGTGAGGGGTACAGGGTATGATTGGTGTTGCTGCTGGTCCTGCTGCCCGCAGCTCGTGGTGAGTGGGCACAGTGCTGGGCTCCGGATCTCGGTGAGAGACGTTGAGTGTGGAGCCGCAGCCCGTGATCTCGCTGACAGACTGACAGAGAGAGCAGCAGCTTCTCATTATCTCCCTTTGTCTGCTTCTTTCTCATGGTGTCGCTGCCAAACTCACTACACGTTTTGGATTCAATGTTTGGATGATTGCCATCGCCAGCCGCACTCTTGAGGGCCAAATACATCGGATGTTTCCCATTATTACCTGAGGCACTGACTGATGCTCACCGCTATTTCCTTCCCATGTCCGGCCCCACCCCTCAAAACAAAACCCAGGCCGGGCTCGACACCCAGAATCATCTCTCACATCACCTTGTGAGGACTGATTGACAGAGAGACGCAGCTCTCTGTCTCGCTCTCCACACTGGGCCCTGGGCTTGTGAGGGGTCAAGGATCAGCGCGGCGGGTTTGCGGGTGGGGGGGAGACGGGAGTAGTTACTGCCGTTTGGACTGTGGGAGGAGATGGGGGGAGAAGGAGGGAGCGAGAGAGGGGGAGCAAGAGAGGGAGGGAGGGAGAGAGTAAGGCTTCCCAAGGTTTGTGAGTGGGGGGGGAGCTGGGGGTCAGGGTGTGAGTGGGGGGGGAGAGCTGGGGGTCAGGGTGTGAGTGGGGGGGGAGCTGGGGGTCAGGGTGTGAGTGGGGGGGAGAGCTGGAGGTCAGGGTGTGAGTGGGGGGGGAGCTGGGGGTCAGGGTGTGAGTGGGGGGGAGCTGGGGTCAGGGTGTGAGTGGGGGGGGAGCTGGGGGTCAGGGTGTGAGTGGGGGGGGAGCTGGGGGTCAGGGTGTGAGTGGGGGGGGAGCTGGGGGTCAGGGTGTGAGTGGGGGGGGGAGTCCAGTCTTCACAAAAAGCATTTGTTCTCTTCATCTGCCCTCCACCCCTGCCCTCCACCCCTGCCCTCCACCCCTGCCCTCCACCCCTGCCCTCCCTCCACCCCTGCCCTCCACCCCTGCCCTCCACCCCTGCCCTCCACCCCTGCCCCCATCCCAACCCCTATCCCAACCCCCAGCTTGGGTGCAAATCATTGATTGCCCGGTGCCTTGGGAGGTCCTCCCGATGTGACATGTATGTGATTTGCTGTTGTGAGTCTCTGGCTTTGTGGAGGTGTTGTCAGGTCTGTGCTCCGCTGCTGGAATGTGCTACAAACCCTTTGCGGAGTCGCCGCAGTGAATGTGACCAGACCGCTGATAGGATGCCTACTGTGTGCCAATGGCCAGCAGTTCTAGAGGAACAGGAATTCGGTCCCTGCAGCCAAGTGCCATCAATCAGTCGGCCTGGCTTTCAGCGGGTACTTGAGTTGAAGTGTGCTGCGGCAGGGCTGCTCTTTCCAACGTGTCGTTTATTCGGCTTTGTTCCTGTCTGCTCTTGGCAGCGAGAGAGAGGCAAGTGCATGTAGCACATCAAAACGTACGTTTGGTGCAGCAGCTTTCACGCGAAAGAAACATCTCAAAGTGCTTCACAGAATGAGATTAATGAGAAATTAACTGCATGTTACACTGGCAAATGCGACAGCCAATTTGCATTGGGAAAGTCCTGCAGAACAGACGTAACCTGAACAGAGCTGTTTCCTGACGTGCCAACCCTCAGTCTAAACCACCCGCTCGGAGAGTCAATACAAGCGCAATGGTGGCTTACCCACATGATTTAATTGAAAACAGCTGAAAATTGATGCTTTGTGTTTAGCTTCTAGTTAAAGGCAGACTGGTACACACTACTGACTGGATTGCCCCAGAGGGACAGTACTGGACAAAGGAACATTTAAAAGAAAGGTTGAGTTCTGCATGTGAACTTCAGCATCATTATAATAATAATAAATTGCCCTCGCTTCAGTGAGAATGGACTGTTTATGGGACGCTGCTGTGCGCAATTGGCTTCCGCATTTTGCCCTCAAGTACACAGTCACTTCACATTACAGTATATTTTTGAAGCGCTTTGAGAGTCTCTGGACGTGATAAGGTGCTGTATCAAATGCAAGAATTATTATTATCAAGTGCATTGACCTTGTCCATCAGCGCTGAAATCCAACTCAGTCCAATGGGAAGATGATCCTGGGAAAGTTAGCAGAGAAGGACATTGAGAGGGCCTTCTCCATTCCCTCTAACAGAAGGACAGGATGGGATCAGTTTTATTACCAGACACCCACGTGTGTGTGCGCATTTGTGTGTGTGTATTTGTGTGTGTGCGCGTTTGTGTGTGTGTGTCGAGAGCAGGCACCAATCTTCTCTAAACAGCAAGGTGTGCGTCTGTGCTGTTAGACTCTCTGACACTGTCATTGACTCAGAGTCCTGCAAATGTCCGGTCCATCTCAAGACCAGCCTCTTTGCCCTCACCCCCAGCTTGGCTGCCAAGATTGTTAAACTCCTCAGGACATCTTCCACAAACATAACTGTACGTTTGTGTATATCCCCCTCCATAACTAGAACCACTGTCACACTGTGTAAACTGATGGCCAGATGTTGTGCACAGCTGGACTCTAGTCACAAAGGCAACAGATGTTTCTCAGTGTCAGTCCCTGCCCCCCCCGATTGGGAATGACTGGTTGGCTAACGCTGCTGTGTATTTGACATGATTAAAGCAGGTTACAGTGATCATCATCAATTTATATTATTGTTGAGTTTATGATTATTTATGGTTTGTCTAAGATTAATTACAATCATTTTCAGATTCCCTCTTCTGTGGATGGAACCAGCTTTAGGATTTATTTTGTAAACATGAGTTCCTGAGAATCTGGTAAACTCTGTGAAGATGGATGTGAGATGTAAATGTTCCTGTCCTTCCTGTGTTGATTGCCTGTAACTGTGGTCAGGTAACTATGTGCTGCTTGTAACTATTGTGCGCTTTTACCTGATGATGTGACTGTGAGAGAGCGGCTCCGACACTGATACCAGGGAATGCCGGGCTCCTCACGCTGCCCCTCGCCACGGCTGGTGACTAGCTCAGCGCTCGGCCAGGGGATGCCCTGAAAGACTGTTATCTCAGCTTTCTCTTTCACGTGTTCAAGGACTCCTCTTTTCAAGCAGTTTGTTTTTCTTTCACAGTTTTGCTATTTGTTCATGTTTCTCTTCATTTCAGTAGGAAAAATAAATCTAATGGTACAAACATACAGACTATTACATAACAAATCACTTTGTTAAAAAAATCCAGTTTCTCAGGCCTGGAAAAACAGCCAGTGACGCTTTGCTGATGTGAAAGGTGCTGCACACATCCAGTTTGTTGTTGTTGTTGTTGGTCTGAGGGCTGTGTGCAGGGTTTGGGGAGGTCAGTGCAATGGCGTATGAGCCTCGTGTACATTAATAATAATCCTTGCATTTGATATAGCGCTTTTCACATCGGGAGGACGTCCCAAAGCGCTTCACAGAACACACTGTAAAGTGAATCGACTGTATATTTGTGGGCAAACGCGGCAGCCAATTGCGCACAGCAATGTCCCACAAACAGTCGTGGATTGAAAATGACCAATTTATTATTGTTTTTGGTTTTGGAGGGATTATTGGGGAGGGATGGCCAGCAGACTGACAGGGTATGTCAGTCAGGTGGCTCTGCTCAGCACGACTGTTCAGGAGCATGTAAAGCACGAGGAGAAGCTCATTCTGGGAACGTAAATGAATCTGTTGCTAAGATTGATGGAGCTGAAGGGGAGCTGGTGTGTAAGTTAATGCCCTTTATTTGCTGTGCTCTCTCTCCATCAGAAAGGCTCAGCTACGTACCTTTGGGGTTGAAGCTGAGGGATATCAAAGGGTGTGAATTGGTTTGTGTTTTTTACACACGCACAAATCTCAGGCTCTGAGGCGACTGTCGCTGACCACAATGTCCTGTACTTGCTGCTCACAGAGGGTGAGGGTGTGATACGCAAACAATGCCCACACATGGCATCTGGGATGTGTTTCGTGGCTGTTAATAGCTGGAGTTCGGGCTGGCGGGGGGCGGTGCGCCAAGCCAAACCCTCGGGCAAAGCACAGCATCAGTTTGGCACTACGTCAAGGCAGGAAAGTGTCTGAAGAGTGAAGGTGGTAATCGGTGTCGATGCTCAATGTGGATTTAGGGGAGTGTACAGAGTGCTCGTGTGGCTGCAGAGCTGACGTGGAGCACAGACTTACTATCTCCGAAAGGCGGAGTGACAGAGCAGTGAGGAGGTGCGGCTCAGCGGCTCTGGGTGGACATGTTCCGGGGCCGGAGGGAGCGCTGGCTCCAAACCAGGAAAAGGGCCTCGGGAACGACTTTACTTTGTGGATAAAAGCCAGGAGAACGATGAGCTGCCAATCAGCTGCAGGACAAGTGGAACAACATGGAGAGGAATTTGAATGTAAGCCTGGAACTATTGTGTGGGCTTCAGCTGTGTGTCTGTCACTGTGGTGTTATGTGAACCGTGTCTGGTAATGTCTAAATACAAAATATATTTTGATTCTTTCGTGTGTGCGAGGGTGTGTGCACGTGTGAGGGTGAGTGAGGGCGTGTGTGTGAGCGTGTGAGGGCATGTGCACGTGTGTGCGTGTGAGGGCGTGTGCGCGTGTGAGGGCGTGTGCGCGTGTGAGGGCGTGAGCTCGTGTGAGGGCGTGAGCGCGTGTGAGGGCGTGAGCTCGTGTGAGGGCGTGAGCGCGTGTGAGGGCGTGAGCTCGTGTGAGGGCGTGTGACGGCGCGTGTGAGGGCGTGTGACGGCGCGTGAGGGCGTGTGACGGCGTGTGTGAGGGCGTGTGACGGCGTGTGTGAGGGCGTGAGCGCGTGTGAGGGCGTGAGCGCGTGTGAGGGCGTGTGACGGCGCGTGTGAGGGCGTGTGACGGCGCGTGTGAGGGCGTATGACAACGCGTGTGAGGGCGTGAGCGCGTGCGAGGGGGTGAGCGCGTGCGAGGGCGTGAGCGCGTGCGAGGGCGTGAGCGCGTGCGAGGGTGTGAGCGCGTGTGAGGGTGGCCCGCCAGTGACACTGTGCAATATTGTACCCGAATTTGTACTTTGTTTGTGTATGGGTGTGTGTGTGAGTGTGTGTGTGAGTGTGTGTGTGACTGTGTGGGTGTCTGTGAGTGTGTGTGGGTGTCTGTGAATGGGTGTGGCTGTCTGTGTGGGTGTCTTGTGAGTGTGTGGGTGTCTGTGTGAGTGTGTGTGGGTGTCTGTGAATGGGTGTGGCTGTCTGTGTGGGTGTCTTGTGAGTGTGTGGGTGTCTGTGTGAGTGTGTGTGGGTGTCTGTGAATGGGTGTGGCTGTCTGTGTGGGTGTCTTGTGAGTGTGTGGGTGTCTGTGTGAGTGTGTGTGGGTGTCTGTGAATGGGTGTGGCTGTCTGTGTGGGTGTCTTGTGAGTGTGTGGGTGTCTGTGTGAGTGTGTGTGGGTGTCTGTGAATGGGTGTGGCTGTCTGTGTGGGTGTCTTGTGAGTGTGTGGGTGTCTGTATGGGTGCCTGTGAGTGTGTGTGGGTGTCTGTGAGTGTGTGTGGGTGTCTGTGAGTGTGTGTGGGTGTCTTGTGAGTGTGTGGGTGTCTGTGTGAGTGTCTGTGAGTGTGTGTGGGTGTCTGTGAGTGTGTGGGGGTGTGTGTGTGTGGGTGTCTGTGAGTGTGTGTGGGTGTCTGTGAGTGTGTGTGGGTGTCTGTGAGTGTGTGTGGGTGTCAGTGAGTGTGTGTGGGTGTCTGAGTGTGTGTGTGGCTATCTGTGAGTGTGTGTGTGGCTGTCTGTGAGTGTGTGTGTGGGTGTCTTGTCAGTGTGTGGATGTCTTGTCAGTGTGTGGGTGTCTGTGTGAGTGTGGGGTGTCTGTGTGAGTGTGTGGGTGTCTTGTCAGTGTGTGGGTGTCTGTGTGAGTGTCTGTGTGAGTGTGTGTGGGTGTCTGAGTCTGTGTGAGTGGGTGGGAGTGTGTGGGTGTCTGTGAGGGTGTGTGGGTGTCTGTGAGTGGGTGTGGGTGTCTGTGGGTGTGTGTGGGTGTCTGTGAGTGAGTGGGTGTCTGTGGGTGGGTGCGTGTCTGTGTGGGTGTCTGTGGGTGGGTGTGAGTGTGTGGGTGTCTGTGAGTGGGTGTGAGTGTGTGGGTGTCTGTGAGTGGGTGTGAGTGTGTGGGTGTCTGTGGGTGGGTATGAGTGTGTGGGTGTCTGTGGGTGGGTATGAGTGTGTGGGTGTCTGTGGGTGGGTGTGAGTGTGTGGGTGTCTGTGGGTGGGTGCGTGTCTGTGTGGGTGTCTGTGGGTGGGTGTGAGTGTGTGGGTGGGTGTGAATGTGTGGGTGGGTGTGGGTGTCTGTGAGTGAGTGGGTGTCTGTGAGTGGGTGTCTGAGTGTGTGGGTGTCTGAGTGTGTGGGTGTCTGTGAGTGGGTATGAGTGTGTGGGTGTCTGTGGGTGGGTGTCTGTGGGTGGGTGTCTGTGGGTGGGTGTCTGTGGGTGGGTGCGTGTCTGTGGGTGGGTGTGAGTGTGTGGGTGTCTGTGAGTGGGTGTGAGTGTGTGGGTGTCTGTGGGTGGGTATGAGTGTGTGGGTGTCTGTGGGTGGGTGCGTGTCTGTGGGGGTGTCTGTGGGTGGGTATGAGTGTGTGGGTGGGTGTGAGTGTGTGGATGTCTGTGGGTGGATGTGAGTGTATGGATGTCTGTGGATGGGTGTGAGTGTGTGGGTGTCTGTGGGTGGGTATGAGTGTGTGTGTGGGTGTGAGTGTGTGGATGTCTGTGGGTGGGTATGAGTGTGTGGGTGGGTGTGAGTGTGTGGATGTCTGTGGGTGGATGTGAGTGTGTGGACGTCTGTGGGTGGGTGTGAGTGTGTGGGTGGGTGTGAGTGTGTGGGTGTCTGTGAGTGGGTGTGAGTGTGTGGGTGTCTGTGGGTGGGTGTGACTGTGTGGGTGTCTGTGGGTGGGTGTCTGTGGGTGGGTGCGTGTCTGTGGGTGGGTGTGCATGTGTGGGTGTCTGTGAGTGGGTGTGAGTGTGTGGGTGTCTGTGGGTGGGTGTGAGTGTGTGGGTGTCTGTGGGTGGGTGCGTGTCTGTGGGGGTGTCTGTGGGTGGGTGTGAGTGTGTGGGTGGGTGTGAGTGTGTGGGTGGGTGTGAATGTGTGGGTGGGTGTGGGTGTCTGTGAGTGAGTGGGTGTCTGTGAGTGGGTGTCTGAGTGTGTGGGTGTCTGAGTGTGTGGGTGTCTGTGAGTGGGTGTGAGTGTGTGGGTGTCTGTGGGTGGGTATGAGTGTGTGGGTGTCTGTGGGTGGGTGTCTGTGAGTGGGTGTGAGTGTGTGGGTGTCTGTGGGTGGGTGTGAGTGTGTGGATGTCTGTGGGTGGGTATGAGTGTGTGGGTGGGTGTGAGTGTGTGGATGTCTGTGGGTGGATGTGAGTGTGTGGATGTCTGTGGGTGGGTGTGAGTGTGTGCGTGTCTGTGGGTGGGTATGAGTGTGTGGGTGGGTGTGAGTGTGTGGGTGTGTGTGAGTGTGTGGGTGTCTGTGAGTGGGTGTGAGTGTGTGGGTGTCTGTGGGTGGGTGTGACTGTGTGGGTGTCTGTGGGTGGGTGTCTGTGGGTGGGTGCGTGTCTGTGGGTGGGTGTGAGTGTGTGGGTGTCTGTGAGTGGGTGTGAGTGTGTGGGTGTCTGTGGGTGGGTGTGAGTGTGTGGGTGTCTGTGAGTGGGTGTGAGTGTGTGGGTGTCTGTGAGTGGGTGTGAGTGTGTGGGTGTCTGTGGGTGGGTGTGAGTGTGTGGGTGTCTGTGAGTGGGTGTGAGTGTGTGGGTGTCTGTGAGTGGGTGTGAGTGTGTGGGTGTCTGTGGGTGGGTGTGAGTGTGTGGGTGTCTGTGGGTGGGTGTGAGTGTGTGGGTGTCTGTGGGTGGGTGTGAGTGTGTGGGTGTCTGTGGGTGGGTGTTAGTGTGTGGGTGGGTGTGAGTGTGTGGGTGTCTGTGGGTGGGTGTGAGTGTGTGTGTGGGTGTCTGGGTGGGTGTGAGTGTGTGGGTGGGTGTGAGTGTGTGGGTGTCTGGGTGGGTGTGAGTGTGTGGGTGTCTGTGGGTGGGTGTGAGTGGGTGGGTGTGAGTGTGTGCGTGTCTGTGGGTGGGTGTGAGTGTGTGGGTGGGTGTGAGTGTGTGGGTGGGTGTGAGTGTGTGGGTGTCTGTGGGTGGGTGTGAGTGTGTGGGTGTCTGTGGGTGGGTGTGAGTGTGTGGGTGTCTGTGGGTGGGTGTGAGTGGGTGGGTGTCTGTGGGTGGGTGTGAGTGTGTGGGTGTCTGTGGGTGGGTGTGGGTGGGTGGGTGTGAGTGGGTGGGTGTCTGTGGGTGGGTGTGAGTGTGTGGGTGGGTGTGAGTGTGTGGGTGGGTGTGAGTGTGTGGGTGTCTGTGGGTGGGTGGGTGTGAGTGTGTGGGTGTCTGTGGGTGGGTGCGTGTCTGTGGGTGGGTGCGTGTCTGTGGGTGGGTGCGTGTCTGTGGGTGGGTGCGTGTCTGTGTGTGGGTGCGTGTCTGTGGGTGTCTGTGGGTGGGTGCGTGTCTGTGGGTGGGTGCGTGTCTGTGGGTGGGTGCGTGTCTGTGGGTGGGTGCGTGTCTGTGGGTGGGTGCGTGTCTGTGGGTGGGTGCGTGTCTGTGGGTGGGTGCGTGTCTGTGGGTGGGTGCGTGTCTGTGGGTGGGTGCGTGTCTGTGGGTGGGTGCGTGTCTGTGGGTGGGTGCGTGTCTGTGTGGGTGTCTGTTCGTGCACACCTCCACCTTTCTGTGAATCTGTTACATTAAGCAGAAATATTTGCTCAACAAAGCAATGCTCGACAGCCCCAAATAGTGTGTCTCTTGTGCTCTGTAGAGTAAATTGGAAGATGCCTGAAGCAGGAGAGGTGCTCACCAGCCCCTGAGGTGTGGGAGAGAGCGAGCCACAGCGACACTGGGAGTGTGTGAGATGAAGGTAAGTACACGTTCTGGCCTTGGAAAGAAAGTGAGTGATATTTACGCCCACGTCTCCTCCTTGATTTTGACACTTGTTGTTTTTGAAATTATAAAATCTGTGCTGTTTGTGTTAACAGGTTCAACAGAAGTGCCCACCCGAGTGGCACTGAGGTTGTCTGACACGAACTTACGCCCGCGCACTGTCCAGGAACATTGAGCCAACCTGCAAGGACTGAGAGGTGGAGTTGGATCCAGCGCTGGGGAGGGAGGCCAGCCATTCCTGGTGGTGAGGAGCGAGACAGCGATTGAGCTCCCAGTCAGCTCTGTACATCTGCACCAACCCCCAGCACTGAAGAGAACCCAGGCCTGGATACTCCAGTAACTCATTACATCACGGCTGCTCCATTGCCGACGTGCCAACCCTGCACGGGAGTGTTGTCCTGGGCCTCTGTGCTCAGGCTGACCCCTGGCTTCCAGTGAATGACAGCAGGAGAAGATCTGTGACCTACTCTGAGGCCAGTGGCAGCCTCTAGCCATTGTAGGGGGAGCACAGAGACAGCAACACAGGCAGCATCAGTCGTCATCACTGGGGCTGTGTCACCGCTCCATCGTTGTTACCAGGATCACGGTAACGCCTCCCTCTGTGCTCCCACTCCCTCTACACACCTCATCCACTCCACGCTTTGTGGCCTCTGTTTCTCTTTGCTGCAGACTTTATTGGTTTGATGTATTTAAGCGGTTAAAGCCCTGGCGTGTGCCTGACAGGTTGTATGTCATTCTCTGGCACATCCTCCAGTGAAGTGATTAGCTGTCGCTTATAATGTGCAATCCTGTGCCCCTGAACCTCGCAGTAAGAAATATTGTGTGTGACAGCAATAGCTGTGAAGTGGCACACACTGGCCGAGAATACGGCAGAGTATGGGGAGCATATTAACGTGGATTGGGGAATGGTTAACGGGTAGGAAACAAAGAGTAGGGATAAACGGGTCCTTTTCAGATTGGTGGGATGTGACCAGTGGAGTGCCACAAGGATCAGTCCTTGGGCCTCAGCTATTTACCATCTACATCAATGATTTAGATGAGGACATCGAAGTTAACATATCACAAAACTAGGAGGAAGTGTCAACACAGAGGACGACATTAAAGAAATGCAGCGAGACATAGATAGGTGAGGTGATTGGGCAGGTGGGTGGCAGATGAAGTATAATGTAGGGAAGTGCGAAGTCATCCACCTCGGGAGCAAAAACACTACAGCGGGTTATTTTTTAGAAGGGGAGAGATTGGAATGTGTTAGTGTCCAGAGGGACTCGGGTGTCCTTGTACACCAATCACAGAAAGTTAGTCTGCAGGTACAGCAGCAATTAGGAAGGCGAACGGTATGTTAGCATTCATTATGAAAGGATTAGAGTATAAGAGTAGGGAAGTCTCGCTGCAACTGTATAGGGCTCTGGTGAGACCACACCTGGAATACTGTGTGCAGTTTTGCTCTCCTTATTTAAGGAAGGATGTACTTGCCGTGGAGGGGGTGCAGCGTAGATTTACTGGGTTAGTACCAGGGATGAAGGGGATGAGTTACGAGGAGAGGTTGACCAATTTGGGCCTATATTCTCTAGAATATAGAAGAATTAGAAGGGATCTTATAGAAAGATAAAGGCCATGATAGAGTAGATAGTGGGAGATTGTTTCCCCGGTTGGAGAAACTAAAACCAGGGCTCACAACCTTAAAATCAGAGGCCAACCCTTTCACACTGAGTTGAGGAAGAACTTATGGAACTCACTATCCCAAAGGGCTGTTGACGCTCAGTCCTTGAACATATTCAAAACTGAGATAGATTTCTTTATTGCAAAATGGATTAAGGGATATGGGGATAAGGCAGCGTCAGGTTATTAGCTGGAGTTAGATTAGAAGATCAGCCATGATTGAATGGCTGGGAAGGCTTGAAGGGCCGAATGGCCTCCTCCTGCTCCTACATGTTATGTTATAGTTGATTTAATCCTAAATAATCCTGTTGTTTGGGGCAGCGCCTGTCATGTGGCTGTGGGTGACGATGACTTCAGTGTCGTGGCTGACTGGCCGGCGGTGTGGCTCACTATGGAATGGAGCCCGGAGCTGGGGGGAGGGGAGTGTGACTGAGTGAGTGTGTGAATCAGTTTGTGAATGTGAGTGTACTTCTACAATGGTCTTTGCACAGATCTGAACCGCTCTTGCAGTTGCTACTGTGCAATTATGAGCCAATCATCCAGTTTACGAATCCATTACAACGTTTGTCCATTTACAGATGTTATAATTAAGCTGTAATTTTTAGCCGGCGTTTAGAGGAATTGGAGAGGGTGTTTAAATGGAGCAGAAACAGCCCCGTGGGTGAACAGCGAATGCTGTTTAATCTGTTTGCATTGATCATGAGCTGTCACCCTGAATTTATTATAAGAATCCTTGCAGTTGATAGAAATGTCTCAAAGCGCTTGACGGATATTATCTGTCAGGTAATACTGACTGTATTTGTGATTATTACACGTTAGCTTCACTCGGTTGGTAATATTCTCATCTCTGGGTCAAAATGTTATATGATCAAGCCCTACATTAGGACCAGATCTCACAGTCCAAATTACACAGCAGCTAATTTGTGCACAACGCGTCCCAAGAACAGCCATGAAATGATTTATTGGAAGGATTTTAATCCACTGTAGAAACTCCTTTTTCCTTTTAAACGTATTAATGGGATCTGGAACATACAGACAGGTGAGACCTGGGTTCAATTGCTTATCCGAAAGACAAGAGTTCCCATAATGTCCCCCCACCCTCAGTACTGCACTGAGCAGCTGTGAAATCAGGTCCTAATACAATAATAATCATCCTTGTGTTTGATACAGCTCCTCATCACGTGTTTGAGATGTCTCAAAGCGCTTCACAGAATACACTGTACAGTGAATTAACTGTATATTTTGTGGGTGAAACGCGGCAGCCAATTGTCTGATCCCTGAGGTGAATGTATAGTTGATAGAGAGCGAGGGAGAGCATCTTTAGGAGACATTACCATGACTGTATAATTATTGCTGTTGGCCGCCCACTGCATCATTTCATGCTAAATAAGGTGGTGCTACACTTCAGATTGTGTTTCCAAACACTTGTGCAGCATTTCCCCAAACTGCTGGTGTTTTTTTATCCTTTTTGACAGCATCTGCATTAACTCTATCCAGCCTTTGAGGGTTCCTTGGCCGGTCTCAATGCTTAAATAATCAAGTGTGTGGATTTCTGCCAGGCCCTCTCTGCTGTGAGTTTAGCTCTGCACTTCACTGACTACTTTATAAAATTTCACAGACATAAAAATAAAATTGATGTGAGCCTTCACTGGCAATGCTTTCCACATGTTGCTGAATGTCAAATGGACTTTCTCCAGATGTTCTCCTGACACATACCACGAGCTTCATCTCTCTTTGGCTGTGAAATACTTTATTAAAATCTGTAATATACGGAGTGTGTTTTCCTGTCACCCCTTTGTGTGTTGTTTATTAAGCTTAGCAAAAACACAAATTGGCTTCCAGACAGCGGGGAGATATTACTGTGGTCCCGTGAGGTATCAGCATTGTCTATAGCGGTTAAATGTGGCCACAATGGGATTTAATGTGAGCGCAGCTGTTTGTGGGAGTCAAATGGTGATTTGGGTCTCACCTCAACTTAGCTGGGGAGATTGAGACTATGCTTAGAGCAGAGGAAGTTAAGGGGTGTCTTTAATAGGAGGAAAGGAATTGGCAGGTTAGATGGTTGAAACTCTTCCCTGTAGAGCGAGGGTGAGGGGTGGGAATTGCTTTAAAATCACAACAGAGAGACATCACCGTGTGTCATTTTCACATCGTAGTGTGTAAGTCAGTAACTCAGTGTCGATGCGATTTAACTCAACATTCAGTAACATTGTCACTCAATAAAGGCTGGTAATATTGTAATTCAGTAACATTTAACTTACCAAGTAACGATGTAACCTGATCTAAGTTATTAATTTGCAGCTCAGTAACGTTAAGTGTAATTAGGTAACCGCAGCCGGCGTTTCCTGTGCACTGAGCACTATACACAGGACGTGATGTCAGTGAGACCTGATGACATGGAGGTTGATTCGTGTGTTTGCGTTTCGCTATAACATGGCCTGGGATATTAGCCACAGCCACGGGAATTAATAATAATAATCCTTGCATTTGATACAGCACTTTATCACGTCTTCGAGACGTCTCAAAGCGCTTCAAGAGATATACTGTAAAGTGTAGTGACTGTATTTTATGGGGGAATTATACAGGATTACCATGTAACGTTAACTAAGCAGCCCATTGTATCAGTTACACCAAAGCAGCGAGAGGGAACGGGTACAGGTCTGTGAAGGGCAAGGAATATAAGGCAATATTTCTTCACACAGATGGGCATCAGCAGCTGGAATGGGTTACCGGAAAGGAACGGAGTTGTTTAATAAGAAATCACTTGTACTGTAACGGGAAGCCTGTGGGTCGGGTATCACGGAAAGATGAGATCACACGAGGAGCACAAAGCCCTTTTCATCCAAACCTAATAGTAACAATATTAATAATAAGTGATAAGGCTCTATCAAACACAAGTATTACTATTATGAAATCTGTCTCAGGATCATTCTCCTCAGTGTTTTCTAAGGATTGTGATACTGGATGTTCATGTTCTACCTGATTGGCGCCACTCAGTGGGAAGGATGACGACTGCAACAGGACCTGACAGTGTTCACTCTAGCGTCACCTGCTGCCATGATTGAAGACCACAGCCATTTCACATTGATGTGCATTAATCAAGAAGTGGAGGAACAATAGGTCGATTTTTACACACTTACTGAAGCCCGAGATGGAGGAAGTGCCAGCGGATGGCGGCTGAAGGTTCGGCTGCTGATGGTTACAGCCGTTGGTTGAGAAAGTGGTGGAGATCATGTGATGATAATAATAATAATAATCCTTTCATTTGATATTGCATCTTATCACCTCTTCGAGACGTCTCAAAGCGCTTCACAGAATATACTGCAAAGTGAATTGACTATATTTGTGGGCGAAACGCAGCAGCCAATTGCGCACAGCAGCGTCCCACACACAGTGACGTTTATTTAAGGAACAACAACAACAAAATTAGATTTGTAAAGTGCCTTTCACAGCGGGAGGACGTCTCGAGGCGCCAACAGTGAAACCACGGGGAAGGCGTTTACATAATTCATAGAATCACGGAATATTACAGCACAGAAGGAGGCCATACGGCTTATCATGCCTGTGCCGGCTCTTTGGATTTCGCTGATAATACGGTCTGGGATGTTAGCCACAAATGGGCAGGATTACCGTGTAACGTTAACTTTAAGCATCCTATTGTATCAGTTACACCAAAGCAGCGAGACGGAACAGGTACAGGTACAGGGCTGTGATGGGCAAGGACGTTTCCCAGAGCACTGTCAGCCGCTGTGTGAGCAAAGCCTGAGGTAGTGAAGGTTCTGGCAGCTCGTGGTTTGTCTGTCTCCTGGTTTCCATTTGGTGTCGTGTCAGCTGTTATAGACGGGGATTGATTATTCTCTCCCATCCCCCCATATTGTTCCACTGGCTTGTGTGTAGATTCAATTCATGGATTGAATCATTGTGTTAAACAGTCTTACGTTTTATGTTCCATCACTCCAAATTAGCACTGGCACAAGTAAGCTTGTTAATTATCAGAACAAAGCGCTGAAAATTGTTTTACTTTGCCTAATTAATTAGCGTGTCCAGAGTGGGATGTTAATTCAGATAAATGATTGAGCCACTTAATACTTTCTCAAAGCTCCCTTCAAGTACTCCATGCACTTTGTCTGAAGATAGGAATCGTTAATTCAATCAGATGTTCTCCACCAGCCTGGAGCACTGAGGCCGCATTATCACCTGGTTCAATGGCAGTTTGCTTTTCAGGACCCAGTTTAACATCTGATCCAAAGGACTCTACATCTCGGGCCAAACAGCAGCCTGGTGGTCATTTGTAGTCAGTCATTCTACAGACTGACATTGAGCCACGTGGAGCATGTACTACTGTGTGAGAAGAGGCTTGTTTACTTATTTTATAGGTGGAAATACCAGTTTCCAACAGTTGAGAAATCTGTGAAGTTGTTTGTGAACTGATCCCAAGGACACAAAAAGTTGATGCAAAATTAGCAAAGCAAACTGTGTCCTTCTGTGGTCAGTCTCCTGAGTCAGGCGCAATAGGTGGAATTCAGAGTTTGCCTCGGAATAGTGTGTTTTATTTGAATATCATCCCACGATCTGTGATCACAAGGAAGGCTACGGGGTTAGTAACTCACGCAGAGGGTCTGGGGTGTTTAGTGTGAATCTATTCTCATGGGGACCTGGCAGGTGCCCCCCGGGGATTTGATATAGTGCCTCATCACGTAGTCAAGACATCTCAAAGTGCTTCACAGAACAGGGGAGTGGCACTGGGGGTACTCGCTGGGTAGGCTTTGTGTGCTAGCTCCGGACTGGCGCAGGAGCCCGGGCACTGGGCGCTCAGTGACGGGCTCTGGGAGTTCATACTCTGGTCGGCGTATGATGGAGAGACACATTCTACCGCAAGTTATACATTCCATTCACTTTACAGTCTATTATTATATTCTGGGAAGCGAATTGAGACATCTCGAAGACGTGAAAAGGAGCTGTATCAAATGGAAGGATGATAACAACAAAACCTTGCTTTCATATAGTGCGCAGCTCCTTGGGATGTCCTCTCAATGTGAAAGGCGCTATCCGCATGTAACTTGGTATTGTATTCACACTGCGTCCCGGAGCGCTTGTTATGAATATTATTAGAAGTAGTATAATACGAACACTGCAGCGGGAGCTAAAGGAAAGCCTTGATCATTCTCTGCCTGAGACTATCTTGGGCTGAGAACCTCAGAGTGAAGCCCAGAGATGGGAGGCGTTTACTGGCGTTGTGGTCGGAGTTTAATTGATCGGGTTCAATTTCACAACAAATTTGCAGCATAATCCAGCAAGCTGGCCTGCAATCCTCTTCTTACTGATGTCACTGAACATCCACATGAGGCTTATTAATGTTCCGCATTAGCTCCGAGCTCTCTGCCATCCCAGCACTGCTCTCAGCTGCTCACATTAATCCCGCTACGTGTAACCTGTAATTCCATCCCAATCCTCATTAATGCTTTATTTAGATTGATAAAGAACTCTGCAAATGGTATTTAGCACTAATTAACTACAGATTAGAATACTCCCGTTTTCCACAAGTTACAGTCATTCTATTCATCTCATTAATTGGTTTCTGAATGCTGTTCAGAAACACTCATCTTGTAAGGGTCGTGTTTTCCATCTAATAATAATTCTGGCTATTGATACAGCACCTTAGCACGTCATCGAGATGTCTCCAAGTGCTTCACAGGATACACTGTAAAGTGAATTGACTGTATATTTGGTGGGCACAACATAAGGTTCCATTGCAGAGACCGTCTGCTCACACACTCACCATCGCTCTCTCTGGGCAGGAGGTATTTCCCTGAGGCTGCTCTGGCTAGTCCATGGGGCTTCACAGTCAGTGTTCAGTGGATCATTTATAAAGGTCTCGGAAGTGATCCTGTCTCTAATGTTTTGTCGGGCAGCTTCCAGCGTCTACACATTGAGAGAGAGGACCTGTAGCAGCAGGAATAGACGTTGCTAATATAATACAATTTGAAGCTCTTAATAGGAAGCCTCCTTCTCCAATTACCTGGTAGGTGGGAACCTGGCACTTGCTGAGCCTGGATGTGATGGTTCAGAGGCTAAGCTTTGGTAACAGCGTCTCAAACCTCACTGAACTCGGGAGGAAATGTTGTTACATAATCCTTGCATTTGATATTGCACCTTAGTAGTTCATCAAAACATCGCAAAGTCCTTCACAGATTTTACTGTAAAAGGTTAATGACTGTGTCATTGTAGGGCAGTGGGGCAGCCAGTTTGCACACAGCAATATCCCACCACCAGCCAGAAAGTGAACGACTCATTTTATTTGGGGGGATTTGGGCCAGGACACTGGGAGAAAATCCTTCTCTTTTTGGACCTTTAACATCCACCTGAGCAGACAGTCAGGACATTGGTTTTATGTCTCATGGGAAGGATGGCATCTCCCAACAATACACAACATCCCATTAGAAGCTCAGAAGTCCTGGCCTGGATAGACTGCATTCTGACTTTCCTTTGCTAAGTTTGTCACCTTGGGGCCACCCCCCTCTCCACCCGAGGTGGGAGGGGAAGCATTTGCAGCTTCAAACACGTCCCATCAGAAACCCAGCAAAACTAAGAGTTCTCCCTCCACTTGCTGTGCAGATTATATTTTAAGTTAATGCAAATACAACATTGGCCTCAGATGATGTGTGCCATGCTTTGGATCCTGTATTTCCTGCAATTCCGTGGGAATGGGGTCTTACTCTGTAAGTGTGGATATAAAATAAGTAACATGTTTGGTCACTTTTTCTTCCTTTCTACTGATTGCCGTGAAGGCCAATAACAAGCCGAGGCTTTGTGTTTACTGCAGCGAGGCAAGTCTGTGTTGGTAAATATAAATTAGACACAACATTGACCAGGGCTGAGGCCACACTGACCTTCTCTTCTGGGACCTGGGGTCAAATGGAGTCTGGACTCAAGAGAATTGGATGAGATGAGTCACTCTGTGCCAGGTGTCAGATATCAGAATGGCAATAGGTTATTTGTGCACCTCAACCTGGTGTGAAGATTCTGTGTTGGGTTCTTGCAAAGGGTTGGCAGGTCTTACCTTTATTGGTTGAAAATCCAATAATATTCGATGTCATTTCTGTTTCTTTACATCCTAAGGTTTAAAAAACAATGTTGTCCTTGTTTGTGTTGGTCAGCCATCTAGGAACATAGGAACAGGAGGAGGTCATTCGGCCCTTTGAGCTTGTTTCTACATTCAATAAGATTATGGCCGATCTGTACCTCAACTAATCCTTTCAATTCCAATTTCCCGCTTTCTCCCCATATCCCTTGATGCCCTGACCTACCAACAATCTATCAACCTCACTCTTGAAGGTGTGGATGGATCCAGCATCTCTGTGACACGCGGAAACCCATAGGCCTGTTCACCTTTCCCTTTCCAACTCATTCACAGGTTCACTCGACAGCACTTAGAGTTAGTGTCTTTGACTGT